TTTAAGGCGTATAAAATAAAATTAAGATTTTATCAGAAAAAAGGGGGAAAAAGATTTAAATGTTTAAGTGTAAACTTGCACCAAAAAAGACTTCGTTCATATTGTGTTTAAGTTTATTAACATTACCTTTTACAGTTAGCAGAAAAAACATTTTTTACACAAATTTATTTAATTACTTTCAAATATCCATGAAAATTTCATTATACTATTTATTATACGTTCTTTATAAAAAGGGTAATTTTCGCTGAATTTTAATTAATATAAATTTTTTTCTATTACATTTGCGTTTTTCATGTATTTCAGTTTATTTCCACACATAATCAAGTATTCGTTTTTATAAAGAACAATTTGGTTTTTAGTTGTATCTGTGGCCCAACAGCTAATATATCTTAATGGTAACTCGTAAAATCAACCAAGCTGAAATGGGGTGTAATAAAAAAATACCAACAAACACACACACACACCCCGAACAACGTAAATTTTAATGGATGTCATGGATTTTTAGCGAAAAAACAACAACAACTTTACAGGAAATTATTGCAATTAAAAAAACAACAACAAGGAAGTGCCACCAAAAAAAAAAAAAATACTGTTTTATATCTTTTACGTTATTGTGTATGGTAAAGGAAACTTGCGACACAAACAAACAAACACTCTTCTAAATTGTTCACAAGAAATGAAAAATGTTACAAGAAACCATAAAAAACACATTGCCCTGGTAAAATGTTTATAAACAGCAGGACATGCAGTTATAAAATGTTTTTCTTTTAGCAGAATAAATATTGTATAGAGTTGTAATGTTAGACACTTCATAAAACCAGGAAATTCTGACGTCATGACATGCCAGAGCAACAAACAATAGTGTTAATGAATGTTTTAAGAGATGATATACATATATCAAAAATGTTGACTTTAAAAACAATAGCACCAGTTTATGTATACGTAAAGTTAACTGATCTACCCTCTAAGCAGAAATCGACTCAGCAATTCTACAAATAAACTACACAAAGACCGACTGCTTCACGAAGTGTCAAGTAATCAATTCATAACAGAGACGACTGAGCTGATCAGCATGATATGGAGAGAATAAATGAACTCTAAACAGAGTCGACTGATCAATTTTAAACATAATCAAGAATAAAGAATCGACTAATCTGCTTTCTGCAGAATCCACTTATCAACTATATACAGAGTCAAGTAATAAATTCGAAACAGAGACGACTGATCAACTCTTAAAAGATCCGAATGATCAACTCTTAACAGAGTCCAATGATCAATTATAAACGTATCCGATTGATCAACTATATACAGAGAAATCTAATAAGCTTTAAGTAGATTGTACTGATCAACTAATCTCTGCATAAAATCAACTTATCAATCAAGTCAACTCATCTATACAGAGTCTACCAATCAATTCTTAATACAGTCAACTAATCAACTCTAAACGGAGTCAAATGATCAATTCTAAAAAGATCAACTCGAGACAACTTAAAAGAATTGACTGATCAATTCTAAATGGTATAATAAATTCTATGTAAAATGAGCTGATTGCTTATAAGCACAGTCGACTTATCAGTTCTAAATAGAGCACACTGAACATCTCTCAATAGAGTCCACTGATCAATTTTAAACAGAGTCAAAAGTTAATTGCATGATCAGTTCTATGCTGAGTTAATTGCTGAAACAAAACACTCATCAATTCTCAAAAGAGTTAAGAGATCAATTCTAAATGTAATGGAATGATCAATTCTATGAATATTGAACTGATCCACTATAAACTGTTCTAAATAAGTAGAGTAAACTGATCAACTCTTTGATCAATTTTAAACAGAGAACACTAAAGTTAATATAAACTGTGCAAAAAGCTCCTAAAAAGACACATACTCAGGACATAAATTCATCTTTGTTCAAAAAATCTTTTTATAGAAACGATTATAAATAAAAAAAGCTTTTATAAAGCTTTTTGTGAATACGAAGATATAGAGCTTTTGAAAATTTAAAAAAAAACCTTAAAAGCTTTTATTTACACATTTTAAATACATAGATTATTTAATTTTATTCTCACTTAAACAATGATAAAGCTTTAAAAGTTCTCTATTCAAAATAAATTGATTTATTGATTTCTCTATTCTAAATAACTTTTTGAAAAAGATATTAAAAAACTAAAGATCCTAATAAGCTTTAAAAAAGCTTTTAGGTCTTAAAATGCATTAAAAAGGTTTTAAAATGCATTAAAAAGTTTTTTTATAACAAAGATCTTAAAAAGCTTTTTATGACAAGTATCTTAAAATGTAAAAAAAGTAAATAAACTGTTTAAAAGGCTTTCAAAAGCTTTTTTAATAAAAATCAGTTTAAAAAGCTTTAATATTGCTTTTTATGAAAAACAGTTTAAAAAGCTTTTATAAAGCTCTTTATGAAAAATATCATAAAAAGTTTTTTATGAAAAATATCTAAAAAAGCTTTTTCGTCAAAGATCTAAAAAGGTTTAAAAAGACTTTTTATGACAAAGACCTTAAAAAGCTTTTTATGACAAGTATCTTAAAAATAAAAAAACTTTTTTCGACACTGTTTTTAAAAAGCTTTCTATAACAAAGTTTTATTTAATGGAAAAATCCCACAAAGCTTTTAAAGCTTTGTTATAAATATATATTTTATTGAAAGAAGAAAGAAGTATATAAAAAAGCTCCACTGCTGAAGCTTTATTTTACTAAAGGTTTTTCTGCAAATTCGGTCTTTTTTATAAAGCTTTATAAATTATATTCGCATAAGGAGCTTAAAGCACTTCTATAAATTTGAAACATTTTTATAGAAAAAGCTTTTTAAACGGTGGGTAAGTATATTCTCTAGACACTATTTATAAAAAAGCTTTTGTGATAAAGACCTTTTAAAGTTCTGTAAGTTTTTAATGAAAGTTTTGTATGTTTTTTTTAATGAAAAATTGTTGAGCAGCTTTTTAAAAAGCTCTTTCACAAATTAAAAACCTTTTTATTAAAAAATATTGAAAAGAATTAAAAAGTTGTCAACAGCTTTTTAAAAAGCTCTTTTACAAATTTAAAACTTTTTTATGAAAAAAATGTTTAAGCGCTTTTTCTATAGAAGGTATTATTTAATAAAGAACTTTAAAAGTTTTGCCAATTTTCTAATCAAAATGAATTCTAAACTGTGTATAAGAAAAGCTTCTTAAGCTAAGGAAATATAGAAGACGTTTAAATTTACATTTTTTCAATAATTTTTAATAGGAATTTGTTTAAAGCTTTTTCAGCTTTATGTTAAAATGTTTTAATTGCGTTAATTATATTTAAGTAAGAGCTTTATAAGTTCTTTTTTAAAAAAAGCTTAAAATCCTTTTTTATATTCACAGAAAACCTTTTAAAGTGAAAATTAATTTTACTTTGCTTTAGTATTTGAAAAAGATCACTTAGATCTACTTGATGATTTAGCGAAATTTTCCTTTAAAGCTTCAAGTTTTCTCACTTTCCCCCGTATTCCAAAAGTAACAGTTGATTTAAGCATGAAAAAAAAGAGTAACAAAAACAAACATCATAAGATAAATGTGTTTCGATGTCAAGGTGTAACTGTACTATAAAACCCCAAACCATATACATAAATAAAAAAAAAAGAAAAACAGAAATAAACATACCTCCACAACAAGTAGATTCTTAAAATACTTTAACACACACCCTACCAATTTGACATACTCCCACAAACTTATACACCACATCAAACACACACATACACAAATGTGTATTAAAGGATGTGTTACAAGCCTGCATTTATAAAACATTTAGGGAAAAAATAGTATAATTCTTACTTACTCATACATACATAGACTTTCATTAACATTATTTTATTTATATTTTTATATTTATAAATGTGTTTTTTTGTAGTATATATTTATGCATATTTTTCTTTCTTTTGTTTTTATTATTCTACTACTTAACATTTTTCCTCGTTTTCCGTAATGCTTTTTTTTTTCTTTTTTTTTTTTGTGTGCCAAAAAGTATTTTTCATTCAAGATGTTCGTACGTCCTTTTTCCACAAGTCCTTCTAATGTTACTTTTTATAGTTAAAGAGTCATCTGTGTGTGTGTGTGTGTGTTTTTCTAATGTACTTGTATGGCTGTGTCTATTTTACTTTTATATTTGTGCGCTTCCTATTTAACTTCATGTCTAAATCTTTTAATATCATGTTAACATACAATGACAGTCATGACGTAGCCACCTGTTAGTTTGTTGAGCAACAGGAGGCCACTAAGAGACACTGGCTTCTTTCTATCAATGTATTTGAGTGTATTTTTTTGGTCCTTCCTGTCGCTTTGTTGCTTATTTTTCTAATTTGTAGTAAAATTGTATTTTACCAACTGTTGTAAAAGAGGGTGGAATGTAATGAGTATTTGCTGCGGTAAGTGAAAGTCGAAAAAAGCTTTTTATTTAGAGAGAATGAGTAAGTTTATAGAGAAAGTGAGAGCAAAGCTTTTTTAACAAAAACATAGAATTGTTTTGTGAGAGTTATAAAGAGTCCAACAAAAAAGGGGTTAGTATTCAAACTAGTGTTGCCACAACTAAAGGATTCTAAAGAAAATATATGACTCCAACTGAAAACTTTAAATCTCTCTTTCCATTCACACATTATTTGTAAACAATTTTTAAAATTTTTATTGCAATTGTTTAAACATAAGAATTCAATTATTTTATATTAATATTTTTTTATAAATGAATTACTTTGTCCTCAAATATAAATATAGGGGTTCATGTTCTAGTTTATGGCCTCTGGCATATTATTATTACCATTTAAAAACCACACTACTTCCGCTTTAATTTTTTCTTTATAAATATTAACAAATTTTAATAAACATTTAAACATTTTTTCTGCTTCAATTCATAATCATGTTTAACTCTCTGTCTGTATATATTGTAGTTGCATTACAATTATTTTACATATTTAATAATATTTCATGTCAAGTTCCGCATAAAATTAATCCATATAAAAAAGTTTTTAAAATGTTACACCAAGAACCACCCGTCAATGTGTTGAATATTACCAAAGAATGCGGTGAGATAAAGGAGCTTTGGCTGCAACAGCCAGTAGATCATTTTGATGTTAATAATACGGAAACCTGGTTAATGGTAAACTTCTTACAGTTCGTAATAATCATTTTATTAATATTATTTTTTCTCCTTATGACAGCGTTATTTTGTCAATGATAATTTCTATCAAGTTGGGTCACCCATATTTGTGTTTGTGGGTGGTGAATGGGAAATATTACCGCATATGCTGCAAGCTGGTCATTTTTATGATATGGCCAAACAGCAGGAAGCTTTAATGTTTTATACGGAACATCGTTATTATGGTCAGAGTTGGCCGAAAAGGTGAGTTGAACTTTAATTTATTATTCAAAGCTTTTCCTTAAACTCAGTAGTTTTTTATTAAATTAGGAATTCTTGAAGATTTATGAATTTTAATTCAAAATTAATCCATATGGGTAAATAAAAAGCTTTTGAGCTTTTTAAAAAAAGTTTATAGGCTTTTTTTTAAAAACTGTGTAAATTAGAGATTATCCTAAGTTTTTTCATAAAAATCTCACCTTCATAAATAAAGCTTTTTTAAAGCTTTTCTTTAAACTCAAAATGAAGATGCTTTTTAAAAAAAGTTTATAGGCTTTAAAAAAAACTGTGTAAATTAGAACTCATCCTAAGTTTTTTCATAAAAAGCTCACCTTCATAAATAAAGCTTTTCTTTAAACTCAAAATTAGGATGCTTTTTTTGTTACATTTGTGTAAATAAACTCTTTTAAATATAAGCTTGTAAATTAAAGCTTTAAAGGGTCAATTTCTTAAAATGCTCAAAAGCTATTTATGATTTTGATGAAAAAGGGTAAAAAAAGGTTTTATCTTAAAAAGCTCAAAAGCTTTTTATGATTTTGCCACAAAAGTTTGTCGGCTTTTAAAAAACTATGTAAATTAGTGCTCATCCTAAGTTTTTTCATAAAAAGCTCACCTCATAAATAAAGCTTTTTTAAAGCTTTTCATTAAACTCAAAATTAAGAAGCTTTCTTTGTTATATATGTATGTGTAAATAAACGCTTTTAAATATAAGCTTGTAAATAAAAGCTTTAAAGGGTTAATTTCTTAAAAAGCTCAAAAGCTATTTATGATTTTGATGAAAAAAGCTTATCGTCTTTATATATATGTATGTATCAGCTATAACTTCATATCCTCTATTTAAATCGATTTATATTAAAATTAAAAAAAATAGCTTTTGACGTTTTGTTAGTTTTTATAAGAAAATTAATTTTAAAATTTTTTAAAAAAAGCTCCTGCAAAGATTTTTCATAAAAGCTTTTATAAAAAGATTTTTTGAATCGGGTTAATAATTTTTTTTTCATAAAAAGCTCATTTTATAACAATCTCTCTTAAAGCTTTTTTATACACTCAATAAATTTATATCAAATTAAGAATTATTTTAGCTTTTGATTTTTTATGTAAAAATTAATAAAAAAGCTTAAATGTTTTTATCTTAAAAAGCCAAAAGTCCTTTTTTTGTATTAAGGGTAATAGTTATAAAAAGCTTTTTATGTTTAAATTCCATTCTTAAAAAGCTTTTGCTATTCACCAAAAGCTGTTATAATAGGTTTTTATAATATTTTTTATAAAAGCTTCTAAAGGCTTTGAAACTGAAAATTAATGTAATGTATGTATGTGTAAATAAAAGCTTTTAAGGTTTATTTTCTTAAAAAGCTCAAAAGTTGTATTTTTCTATAAATCTAGGAAAAAATTAAAAAAAGCTTTTAAAGTGGATTAATAATAGATTTATTAATAAAAAGAGCTTTCTTGGTTTTATATGAAAATTAATGATTTATTATAGACTTCTATCATAAAGTATTATCTTAAGGTCCATAAAAAGCTTTCCTCAAATCAAATTGGTTAATATTCGATTATTCATTAAAGAGCTTTAAAATTATCAAACGTAAAATAATGATAAAGTATGTGAATAAATAGAGCTTTCAATTGATTTATTTAATAAAGTACTTTTAAAGATATCTAGTTTGTAACGCTTGAAGTTTTTCTTAAAGCTTTCATACATTTATTTCTAAAAGCTACATTAAAAGCTTTATTTTTTATTATTGTTTTCAGCGACTCATCTACTGACAACTTACAATTCCTTAATGTTCTACAATCCCTTGAAGACTTAAAGAGCTTTCTAACTTATCAGAAGTCGTCTACAAAAGCTTTAGCAAATGCCAAAATCGTTTTAGTCGGAGGTTCTTATTCTGGCAGTATGGTAGCATGGTTTATGAAATTATATCCTGAAATGGCCGAGGTAGCCTGGGCCTCTAGTGCTCCTTTAAGGGCTAAAATGGATTTTAATGGTAAGTATTAAGTGATATTTTAAAAAAGCTTTCAATGTGTTTATAAAAAGCTTTAACTATAAATTTAAAATTATTGTAAAACTAATTGTAAAGAACTTTAAACTGTCAAAAGTTTTTTGGGACAACGCAAATATCGTTATTTTATATATAGATTTTAACAGCTTTATAAAAAAAGCTTTAAAGAAACATAACGAGAAACATTTTAAAGCGCATTTTCTTAAGCTTAAGAGCTTTTTCATATATGGTTTATAGAATAACATTCCAACAGGAGTTCGTATTAAATGAAATTCTTTTGATATGAATTAAAAGAACTAAAAAGAAAGCTTTTGCATAAAGTTTTATTGCTAAAAAACATTTGCTAATTTTGAAAAAAAGTTAAACTTAAAAAAACTTTTATTGATATTTGGTTTTTCTAATCCCTTAGAGTACATGACTTTAACTATTTGTGTTTCTAATCCCTTAGAGTACATGACTTTAACTATGACTTCATTGCAACAAAAAGGTGGAGTAAGATGTGCCCAAAAGCTCGATGAAGCTTTTAAAGGTTTGGTAAAAGAGATGCAAACCAATAAAGCTTCTAGTTTATTAAGAAAATTAAATGTATGCCAAACATTTGACGCCACAAATACACTCGATAGACAAGCTTTTTTCAATGGTTTGGGAAATTATTTTGCCGGCTTAGTGCAAAGCTATAGGTGAGCTTTTTAAATTAAAATATAAATTAAGTGGAAAATAATGTTGATTTTATTATGTAAAATAGTGCTTTTATACCACAATTTTGTTCAACTTTCACTAAATTGGATTTTAAACCCAGCGAAGCTTTAATCAAATATTTTGCACAAGTATTTTCAAATGAAGAAGAATTGAAAATTAGAGAAGAGTTTGAGGAATGGTGCTTGGATTTCACTTATCAAGGCCTGAAGTCAATATTTACAGATGTAAATGAACTAACAACAGGCAGTAAGTAATATGAATATTTTTCATAAATTTTAATGAAATGAAAATTGTTGCTTTTTGTTACATAGCACGTCCTTGGTTTTATCAAACTTGTCAGGAATTTGGTTGGTTTTCCACCACAGCCACCACCACTACAAATGAAGCGTTCACAATAACATCATCTACAAATACACATTATACTCCAGCATTTGGTGGCCAGGTGCCTTTGTCTTATTTCCAACAATTGTGCCAGGATGTTTTTATGGAAAATTTAGGTCATGGCACTCATTATTCTCCTCTAACATTACAACAATTACAGGCCAGAGCTTTAGCGATAAACAAACTTTTTGGTGGTTTTTCTAATGTTTCCAAACGTGTTATTTTTACTCACGGTCTATTGGATCCCTGGCGTGCAGCTGGCTTACAAAATGACCAAAATGTTTTACTTATTAAAGGTGTGTATAATGTTTTTCAACATTAACAGACAAAGGTGTACTTATGAAATGTTTCTTTTTTAAGAATTTTTAATTTTATTTATTTTTTTTTTACCTGAATTGTTAGGCTCCAGTTCTCTTTGTTATTTGTGTTGTATTAATTATTGTTTATTATCTTGGTTGCAGACTATAGTCATGTTGAGGACATGGGTTCAATAAACCTCAAAGATACGGTGGACATGAATGTGGCCAAACTGAAGGTGTCTGCTTTTATAAATAGAATTTTAAGGCATAATTAGTGTTAATTAATAATTATGCTTAAATGTGATTTTATTTTAAGTGATATTAATTGTTTTTGGGGTACAAGTCTAGTCTAGTTTTAAAATAATAACTAAAAAAGATATGTTTAACCTACCAAATCTAATAGAAAATTTTAATTTTAAAGAGTTCTTAATGCATTAAGTATAAATTTAGTTTTAATTTTATTCATTTCAATCAAATAATTTTTAATATTTTAGTTATTTTCCAAGATTTTAAATAATTTATAAATTTTGTTCACCATGACGTATGATTAATATTAATTGTGACTTTGTGTTTAATTATAATCATAACTGCAATATTTTTCCAAAGTTCCAACGATTTAAAATTTTTAAGGATTTTGATTTCTTTCTTTTCTCCATATAACAATTTTATTACTTTAAAATTCTTACTTTACCCCTTCATTTTCTGCAACATATTGTGGCAATATTTTTTCTCATAGTTATTGTTGTTGCTTTTGGCATCTTCATCATCAAATCATGGCTGTTACTGGAAAACTATTTCACCTTTAACGATTTTCTTTATTACATAGAAAATAATTCTAATAAAATTTATTGTTGTCAATATTTGAAAGCAAAAGAATTTTTCTTTTATATTTTTTTTAACATACATATTACTTGCTATATAGTAAACCCAGTGAACAGGAATTATGTAGAATATTTCTTTAGAAAATATACTTTCCAAATTGACAAAGACACTAGATATTGAGATATTAATAAAATCTTAAAAACACCTTACCCAGGAGTATGTTAACTTAAAACTGTACGCTGGGTTCTAAGCTTAAAGGTATGCTTATATGAGCAATAACATTCATGCATCATTATCCTTATAAGATGCTTGGATAACTTTCGCTCGGGGTAAATGGAGAGTAATATACAATTAGACATCTTAAATATATGTAATTTTTAATTCAATGATAATTTTCTTTTAATCATAAAAAACAACATTTCTTCCAGACTAGACTACAGACTAAACTATAGGCTATATTTTATACTATACTATAGATTAGACTACTGACAAGATCAATAACTTTACTATAGACTTGAATATAGACTAGACTATAGACTAGACTATAGACTAGACTATAGACTAGACTATAGACTAGACTATTGACTAGACTATAGACTAGACTATAGACTAGACTATAGACTAGACTATAGACTAGACTATAGACTAGACTATAGACTAGACTATAGACTAGACTAAAGACTAGACTATAGACTAGACTATAGACTAGACTATAGACTAGACTATAGACTATAATATAGACTAGACTATAGACTAGACTATAGACTAGACTATAGACTAGACTATAGACTAGACTATAGACTAGACTATAGACTAGACTATAGACTAGACTATAGACTAGACTATAGACTAGACTATAGACTAGACTATAGACTAGACTATAGACTAGACTATAGACTAGACTATAGACTAGACTATAGACTAGACTATAGACTAGACTATACACTAGACTATAGACTAGACTATAGACTAGACTATAGACTAGACTATAGACTAGACTATAGATTCGACTATACACTAGACTATAGATTCGACTATAGATTCGACTATAGAGTAGACTAGACTATAGATTAGACTACAGACTAGACTATAGATTAGACTATAGATTAGACTACAGATTAGACTATAGATTAGACTCAGACTAGACTATAGACTAGACCATGGCTTTGTATTTAGACTATAGACTAGACTATAGACTAGACTATAGACTAGACTATAGACTAGACTATAGACTAGACTATAGACTAGACTATAGACTAGACTATAGACTAGACTATAGACTAGACTATAGACTAGACTATAGACTAGACTATAGACTAGGACTATAGACTAGACTATAGACTAGACTATAGACTAGACTATAGACTAGACTACAGACTAGACTATAGACTAGACTATAGACTAGACTATAGACTAGACTATAGACTAGACTATAGACTAGACTATAGACTAGACTATAGACTAGACTATACGAGACTAGGACTAGACTATAGACTAGACTATAGACTAGACTATAGACTAGACTATAGACTAGACCTATAGACTAGACTATAGACTAGACTATAGACTAGACTATAGACTAGACTATAGACTAGACTATAGACTAGACTATAGACTAGACTATAGCTAGACCTATAGACTAGACTATCGACTAGACTATAGACTAGACTATAGACTAGACTATAGACTAGACTATAGACTAGACTATAGACTAGACTATAGACTAGACTATAGACTAGACTATAGACTAGACTATAGACTCTAGCTACTATAGACTAGACTATAGACTAGACTATAGACTAGACTATAGACTAGACTATAGACTAGACTATAGACTAGACTATAGACTAGACTATAGACTAGACTATAGACTAGACTATAGACTAGACTATAGACTAGACTATAGACTAGACTATAGACTAGACTATAGACTAGACTATAGACTAGACTATAGACTAGACTATAGACTAGACTCTAGGCTAGACTATAGACTAGACTATAGACTAGACTATAGACTAGACTATAGACTAGACTATAGACTAGAATAGACTAGACTATAGACTAGACTATAGACTAGACTATAGACTAGACTATAGACTAGACTATAGACTAGACTATAGACTAGACTATAGACTAGACTATAGACTAGACTATAGACTAGACTATAGACTAGACTATAGACTAGACTATAGACTAGACTATAGACTAGACTATAGACTAGACTATAGACTAGACTATAGACTAGACTAGACTAGACTATAGACTAGACTATAGACTAGACTATAGACTAGACTATAGACTAGACTATAGACTAGACTATAGACTGGACTATAGACTAGACTATAGACTAGACTATAGACTAGACTATAGACTAGACTATAGACTATAGACTAGACTATAGACTAGACTATAGACTAGACTATAGATTCGACTATACACTAGACTATAGATTCGACTACAGATTCGACTACAGATTCGACTATAGAGTAGACTAGACTATAGATTAGACTACAGACTAGACTATAGATTAGACTATAGATTAGACTACAGATTAGACTATAGATTAGACTACAGACTAGACTATAGACTAGACCATGGCTTTGTATTTCTGCTGTAGCCTAAATAGATTTCGTCTTAGCTAAATATTATTATAGTCTAGACTATAGACTAGACTATAGACTAGACTATAGACTAGACTATAGACTAGACTATAGACTAGACTATAGACTAGACTAGACTATAGACTAGACTATAGACTAGACTATAGACTAGACTATAGACTAGACTATAGACTAGACTATAGACTAGACTATAGACTAGACTATAGACTAGACTATAGACTAGACTATAGACTAGACTATAGACTAGACTATAGACTAGACTATAGACTAGACCTATAGACTAGACTATAGACTAGACTATAGACTAGACTATAGACTAGACTATAGACTAGACTATAGACTAGACTATAGACTAGACTATAGACTAGACTATAGACTAGACTATAGACTAGACTATAGACTAGACTATAGACTAGACTATAGACTAGACTATAGACTAGACTAGACTAGACTATAGACTAGACTAGACTAGACTATAGACTAGACTATAGACTAGACTATAGACTAGACTATAGACTAGACTATAGACTAGACTATAGACTAGACTATAGACTAGACTATAGACTAGACTATAGACTAGACTATAGACTAGACTATAGACTAGACTATAGACTAGACTATAGACTAGAGACTAGACTATAGACTAGACTATAGACTAGACTATAGACTAGACTATAGACTAGACTATAGACTAGACTATACTAGACTAGACTATAGACTAGACTATAGACTAGACTATAAGACTATAGACTAGACTATAGACTAGACTATAGACTAGACTATAGACTAGACTATAGACTAGACTATAGACTAGACTATAGACTAGACTATAGACTAGACTCTAGGCTAGACTATAGACTAGACTAGACTAGACTATAGACTAGACTATAGACTAGACTATAGACTAGACTATAGACTAGACTATAGACTAGACTATAGACTAGACTATAGACTAGACTATAGACTAGACTATAGACTAGACTATAGACTAGACTATAGACTAGACTATAGACTAGACTATAGACTAGACTATAGACTAGACTATAGACTATAGACTAGACTATAGACTAGACTATAGACTATAGACTAGACTGACTAGACTATAGACTAGACTATAGACTAGACTATAGACTAGACTATAGACTAGACTATAGACTAGACTATAGACTAGACTATAGACTAGACTATAGACTAGACTATAGACTAGACTATAGACTAGACTATAGACTATAGACTAGACTATACTAGACTATAGACTAGACTATAGACTAGACTATAGACTAGACTATAGACTAGACTATAGACTAGACTATAGACTAGACTATAGACTAGACTATAGACTAGACTATAGACTAGACTATAGACTAGACTATAGACTAGACTATAGACTAGACTATAGACTAGACTATAGACTAGACTATAGACTAGACTATAGACTAGACTATAGACTAGACTATAGACTAGACTATAGACTAGACTATAGACTAGACTATAGACTAGACTATAGACTAGACTATAGACTAGACTATAGACTAGACTATAGACTAGACTATAGACTAGACATAGACTAGACTATAGACTAGACTATAGACTAGACTATAGACTAGACTATAGACTAGACTATAGACTAGACTATAGACTAGACTACTAGACTAGACTAGACATACTATAGACTAGACTATAGACTAGACTATAGACTAGACTATAGAATAGACTATAGACTAGACTATAGACTAGACTATAGACTAGACTATAGACTAGACTATAGACTAGACTATAGACTAGACTATAGACTAGACTATAGACTAGACTATAGACTAGACTATAGACTAGACTATAGACTAGACTATAGACTAGACTATAGACTAGACTATAGACTAGACTATAGACTAGACTATAGACTAGACTATAGACTAGACTATAGACTAGACTATAGACTAGACTATAGACTAGACTATAGACTAGACTATAGACTAGACTATAGACTAGACTATAGACTAGACTATAGACTAGACTATAGACTAGACTATAGACTAGACTATAGACTAGACTATAGACTAGACTATAGACTAGACTATAGACTAGACTATAGACTAGACTATAGACTAGACTATAGACTAGACTATAGACTAGACTATAGACTAGACTATAGACTAGACTTAGACTAGACTATAGACTAGACTACTATAGACTAGACTATAGACTAGACTATAGACTAGACTATAGACTAGACTATAGACTAGACTATAGACTAGACTATAGACTAGACTATAGACTAGACTATAGACTAGACTATAGACTAGACTATTAGATTAGACTATAGACTAGACTATAGACTAGACTATTAGATTAGACTATAGATTAGACTACAGACTAAACTATAGACTAGACCATGGCTTTGTATTTCTGCTGTAGCCTAAATAGATTTCGTCTTAGCTAAATATTCTTTTTGACACTCCTTTTCTTATTCTTAGAAATTCATGCTGAAGGTGGAAATTGCAGGAAAATATTCTCTTCATATTTCAGGCAGACATTTAACGAGATTTATTTTCATTTTGAAAGAAATTGGCAAAATAAGAATCAACAAAATCTTTTGCAGCACACCTGATGGCAGGAAAAACAACAACGTCAAACAGCAAAAGTTTAAGGTTGAATTCATATATAAATTGTGAAAAATATTTGGAATAAAAAAATATTGTTAAAAAACTTTTAACAAGTAAATGTTGTTGAAAAATTATTATTTAAATAGATGCTCTATTTATAACATAAAATAAAAACTTTCTAAAGGGTTGGCAAAATTGAAGTTATAATATTTTTATGAGATGAATATTTATTTTTTATTATAATTAAGGTCATATTTTTGGGATATTTTTATAATTTTGTAAAGGTTTGCTAAAAAAAAGTATTTATGTTATTTGCATACTTTTAGGAGTTGTTATAGTTTAAAAGTAGTTTGAGATGTTATTAAATGGAGAAGAAGTAATTTTTTTTTTCCAAGAATTTGTTTTTTTTTTGGATTTAGCAAATACTGCATACTTTTAGGAAAATTTATTGATTTAAGTGTAATGTTTGAAAAACTATTGCTGCTTTAACTAGTAAATAAAGTTTTCTACAAACGTAAATCTTTTGTTGATGAAATCTTAATGCTTTTGTTTTAAAATAACTTTTCTTGTATTTGTGTCAATTAAGTTTGTAATGCAATTACTGCTTTATTTTAACTTTTGTGCTTAACTGATCATTCTTTTTCCCTAGATTACATTTTAATTTTCTATTTTTCCAACTAATTTTAACCTTTCAACTTAAAATGTTTTTTTAATGACAGCTGCTGATTTCTGAACGTGGGCGCCAAACTAACAAGCAAGAGGTGGCGCCAATTGTGAAAAGTGTTTGTTCTTTATTGTGCGTGGGAAGTAAATGGGAGGTGCTTTTCACTAAGAAAATCTGTTAAAAACCAATTTTGTTATAAAAGAATGTAATTTAAAGTTTTTTTAATTAATTAGAAATTTTTTTTATAAAATAGTCAAACAACTTGTTGTGTTGCTTAAATTTATGTTAAAAATTTATTTAAAGTAATTTTGTTCATATACAAACTTGGAACCTTTCTGTCCCAAAAGCATATGCGCAGGAGTTGTTAGAAATTAAAACCAGAGCATACTTTTGGGACGTTTAAGAAAATAAATGAGAGAGTAAGAAATAAATATTATAGTTTTTGTTAAGTGTATGAAAACAGGTGTGCCCCTTGAGGAATTTTGTGTTTCTTTTTGTTACAGAAAGGTCGTGTTAAATCAACAGTAATAGTAAAAATATTGTTAAAAAAAAACAAAAACATCGCACAAAAACATCGATTAACATTTAAAAGAGGGTATATTAAGTTGCTGCAAAGCTTAAAATACTTCAGTCGAGTTTCGTACTTATACTAGCGTAGTGGTTTCTTCTCAGCACCGAATATAGAAAAATAAACTGAAATAAAGAATTTGAATAACATTTTAAAAGTGCAATTTGTTTTTAAATTTAAAGAAAAGTGAAAGTGCAAATTTATGATTTCTTTTGGAAAATAAAATAACTCGTACTCAAATGTAAAGAAAAATGTTAAAAAATTAACAAAATAATAAAAATCTTTAACAAAATATTTTTAAGAGGAAAAAGTGTATATTTTCTGGTTATTGTTATAATTTTGGAAAAATATCTAATGAAATTTATATATATTTTTGATTTTTTTTTTAAAAAAAGTGTATGTAACTTTTATTAACTGGTAATAAATCTCAAAGGGAATATAAATGTGTTTTCATTTTTTGTGTGTGTGTGTATATTTTATTGTATACAATGTGTTTTTGTATGTCTAAGCTCTAAAAATAGGCTTTACAAGTTTTACTTGTTACAGCCATTAAGTATGCAACATTATTTATTTTTTCCTTTACGTTTTGTTGTATATAAATGTTTTCTATATATATGTTTAGTTACAAAGTTAGAAATAATTTAATAGAACAGTGAGGAAAATAATCAATGGCAAATGAAGGTAATAAAAGGACTTCAAAGGAAAATTTTTGATAAAAATCTATAAAGGAAATTTAAGGTGACATTTTCTAAACTAAAGAAGTTCTATAAAATTTAAGGCATTTGAAACTAACTGACTGTTGTCTTAAATGCTCTAATACTTAAAGTTTTCTGCTGTTTCATCACGTTCACTTTTTTTCAAGATTAAACTTTAAATTGTTTTATGTTTAAAAGTTTTGGAATATTGATAATTTCTTAAAAACTTTAAAAGTTTATTTATTAAAAAAAAAATATATTATTTATCTAAAAAAAGCTCAGAATAAATATTAATCATACGTCGTGGAGAGCAAATATTGAAATTTTTGAAGATCCATAAAAAATACCTAAAATTTTAAAGATATTTTAATTGAAACAGTTTCCTTTTATTCTAAATATATGTTCGGTCATAGAAAATATCAATTGAATTTTGAGATTTTACAAATTTTTAAAAAACCTTACAGCTTACAGCTTTTATAAGCAAACAAATTAGAAATATTATTAATCATACATATAGATGGATAAAATTTTTAATTTTGAAAAAGTTTTAGAAAATATTTAAAATTTTGAACATAAAAATTTATAAGAGTTATGGCCATAATATGAAAATAGTTGTAATTAATATTAATCATACGTCAAGGTGTTCATAATTATAATTAAAAATTATCTTAATCTTTAAAGAAATTTGAAATAAATTTTCAGTTCAGTTCTAGTTCAGTTCTAGTTCAGTTCTAGTTCAGTTCTAGTTCAGTTCTAGTTCAGTTCTAGTTCAGTTCTAGTTCAGTTCTAGTTCAGTTCTAGTTCAGTTCTAGTTCAGTTCTAGTTCAGTTCTAGTTCAGTTCTAGTTCAGTTCTAGTTCAGTTCTAGTTCAGTTCTAGTTCAGTTCTAGTTCAGTTCTAGTTCAGTTCTAGTTCAGTTCTAGTTCAGTTCTAGTTCAGTTCTAGTTCAGTTCTAGTTCAGTTCTAGTTCAGTTCCTGATCGGTTCTAATTTATTTTTAGTCCAATCTATTATTTTTATTCAATCTGTTAAATAAAATTCTAAATTTATATTTAGTTATAGAATATTTCAGTAAAAATATGAATAGAAGCATATAAACCGGAAAAGCTGTCATGTTAGGTTTTTTTCGTGGTCTTTATTACACTTTTTTAAGACAATTGCTTTACTAAAAGATACCTTAAAATATTTTTTAATTTAAAGTTTTGAATTTCTTCAAATTTGTTAAGAACTTTAGCAGTTACAGCGTTAACAAGCAAAAAAGTCTGAATTAATATTATTCATACGTCAGGATGGGCAAAAATTTGAATTTTGTCAAAATCTTTTAAAAATATCGAAAAATTATGAAACTTTTTGATGGAAACATTTAAATTAAAATCAAAATTTAAGGATGTAATTAATAATATTAAGGAGTTATATTCTTTAAGAAAAAATTTTGGCCGAAATCTGAAATGGATACAATTTTTTAACACTCAAATTTTATAAATTATTTATTTGCGAAAAAAATTTTATATTTTTCGATTGTTATTTCTAAAAACTTTTGCCTTTTAAATTTTTCCAAAACATTTTGTGTATTTCCTATCAATTTAATTAATGTTTCATTGCCATGTCCATGTTCTATTAATTACATTCTAATAAAACGCATTTGTTAAAATTTTCCAGAAGTGTGGCATGAAAATATACATATTTAATTACTAATTAATTTACCTTTTAATACAATTTTAATTAATAATGTAAAAACAAACAGAAATAACATAAAATTTTATTAAAGCAGAGATTTAATAATAAAAAAGTTTGTTTTTACAAGATAACTGCAAAAAAGTAATAAAACAAACTGAGGAAAAGGTGGAATATTTCAAACAAAAACCTTTATAAAACAACTGAAAAATAAAAAAGTTTTTGCAGTGTTTTTTATTTTGCTGCTATTTTAAACTGTTTTTACAGAATTTACTTCATTAAATTTTTCTTCATAAAGTTTTAAATGTTTTATATATTTAAGAGTTTTGTAACTAAAAAGTCAGAATTAGTGTTAATCATACGTTTTTGCAAAATAAAAATCTTTAAATGTAAACTAAAAGTTCAGTTCTAGTTGAGTTTATAATTCCATAAATTGGCTTGTTTTAGTTAAATTTCATGTGTTTTCTTTAATGTTGCTTTTAAATTTTAAAAATCGCCCAAAATTTACAGCAGCTATTGTCATTATTAGCAAGAAAGTCATAATTAATATTAGTCATACGTCAGGGTGGACAAATTTACAATATTTGTAAATATCTTAAAAAATAATGACAACACTGAACTTTTTATTATAGAATCGGCTAAATCACAAACATCTATATATATAAAAATGAAAGTGTGTTTGTATGTATGTATGTATGTATGTATGTATATATGTATGTATGTTTGTTTGTTTGTTTGTGCTTTATAGACTGCTAAACGGCTAGACCGATTTTCCTGAAATTTTCACAGTTTCTTCCTGTATGTCTGGAAGGAACTATAGGCTACTTTTTATGTTGAAATTTCGTGTGGGCGACGTGCCACGCCCATATTAAGAAAATATTAAATTAGTATATCTGAGATAATATAATAGTTAGAGTCTTCAAATTTTGTCGGAGCAACTTTAGTATCAATATAATTATTTAAGACAAAAAGTGGGCGGATTAGCATTAGGGGGCGTGGCACCTCCCATATAAATTAAATACAAAAATTCGTTTATCTTGGAAACTATTATAGTTAGAATATTAAAAATTTCCACGAGTAACTTTAACATCCATGTAAACATTATGGGAAATAAATTGGCGGACTACCCATGAGGGGAGCAGTACCTCCCATATTAATAAAATACAAAAATTGGTTTATATGGGAAACTAATAGAACTAAATTCTTCAAATTTTGCACTAAGAACTTAAATATAGAAAAAAGAGCGGACTTTCGCCATGTATGTATGTATGTATGTATGTATGTATGTATGTATGTATGTATGTATGTATGTATGTATGTATGTATGTATGTATGTATGTATGTATGTATGTATGTATGTATGTATGTATGTATGTATGTATGTATGTATGTATGTATGTATGTATGTATGTATGTATGTATGTATGTATGTATGCTGTATGTATGTATGTATGTATGTATGTCTGTATGTATGTATGTCTGTATGTATGTCTGTATGTATGTCTGTCTGTATGTATGTATGTATGTATGTATGTATGTATGTATGTATGTATGTATGTCTTCTGTATGTCTGTATGTATGTATCTGTATTCTGTATGTCATGTGTCTGTTGTCTGTCTGTTGTTGTTGTCTGTCTGTCCTGTCTGTCTGTCTGTCTGTCTGTCTGTCTGTCTGTCTTCTGTCTATTGTCTGTCTGTCTGTCTGTCTGTCTGTCTGTCTGATGTCTGTTTTGTTTGTTTGTTTGTTTGTTGTTGTGGTTTATGCGTGCTCTGCTACGGCTGGACCGAATTTCCTGCAAATTTTCACAGTTTCTTCCTGTATTTCTGGCAAGGAACTATGTTACTTTTTATGTTTGAAACTAGCTAAAACGCGGCGTGCTTTGCTACTCCTGTCGATATAAAATAAAAAATTTCCAAAATATATTGATATGCATTTTTTGTTTATAAAAATTTTATTAATATTTGTTTGTCACTATCCAAAACCATAAAGTAATAAGACAAAGAAAGTTTGATATTTAAAGTATTTTATTAATTAATGATATTTATGTACATATATTATTTCTTAATAATTATTTCTTACAAGGAGGATTTTATTTCATTGATGCGCCAGGAGGAACCGGAGAAACCTTTCTCATCTCATTAATTTTAGCTAAAGTTCGATCACAAAAGAATATTGCCTTAGCCATTGCGTCATCAGGTATTGCAGCAACACTTTTAGATTATGAACTCAAATTATAGTTGAAAACACAATTTTCTGAAGATTATACATGTAGTGTTAAGAAAAATTCTTCAATGGGTAAAGTCCTGCAAACATATAAAATAATAGTGTGGAATAAATGCACCATGGCCCACAAAAAATCCTTAGAAGCGCTTGATCGCACTTTAAAGGACATGAGAAGTAATTCTATTGTATTTGGAGGTGCATTAATTCTTTTAGCGGGTGATTTTCGCCGGACACTTCCTGTGATACCTGGTTCAACGCCGGCTGATGAACTCAATGCTTGCCTAAAATCATCATATCTCTGGCAACATGTTCACACGTTAAAATTAACAACAAAACAATTGCTGGATTTAGGAAATGGAAAAATGACAATTGAGCCAACCACAAATTGTGTAAAGTTTCCCTCTAACTTTTGTAGGATCACACAATCAAAGAAAGAGTTAATATATTGTGTTTTTCCAAATCTTCAACGTAATTTCAAAAATAGGCAGTGGTTATGTGAGCGTGCTTTACTGGCACCCAAAAACATTGACGTTAATTGTATCAATAATATTATTTTGAATAGAATCGATGGTAATTTAAAAACATATAAATCCATCGATACTGTTACAAATAATGATGATGTCGTCAATGTATCCCCACGAATTGAAGTTA